TTTCATCTATGACGTCGACAGCGAGATGTGGGCGAGCGCGTAGTTTCGCGGCGCGCGGTCGGCGGTGTGTCATCTCGGGGACGGGAGAGGGATCTTAACTTAACGCTTTAGGTTTCTCTTGTTACTTCCTATTACCAACAAATGCCGAACGAAACTCATCACACGCTTCCTCTTCCCGGTGGGGTTGCGACTTTGAACGATCACAGGAATACGAACGGTTCGACTAGAAGGAATTCCCATGGCTTTAACGGTGGGCAGTCTAGACTTGGGGCTGCCTCCAGGACTAGTACCGCACCTCTGACAAATGCTGCAGATGCACGCGATGAGTATGTGTCTCTTACCATACAGAGTAAGATACGAAACATGACAGGATCATATGTAATATTGATCTTCTAGGTCTTATTCGGTCTGCTGAAGCAGTAGATCATCTAGATGATGATTCCCTCTATGCTGTATGCAAGAGGGCAGTTCAACATGGCCGTCCTCGCTCCCATGCTAATGCTGTTGCCTCTATGACCCGATCCAGATCAACTCGAGCACGGCTTTCCTACGAGGAACTCCATCACTTAATGGCTGCCACCATTTCTGGCGTCGAATTATGTGACTTCATCCCAGGACCTGTTACTACTAGTAGCGGCAATAGTACTCCGAGTAGTACTACTAGTCGTAGTAGAAGAGCTCAGAAGGTACTTGTCAATTTCTGCCCTATGCCTAAGATGCATTATTTCTACAACGCTCTTACACTTCCAGAGGTAGTAGTACTAAATGAACGGGTTTCATCGTGGAATTCAACTTCACTGATTTAGATATCGCAGAACTACTACGACGATATTTACCTCCGACCGAACGCTTGTCTGTCGAACTCTCATACGGACTCCTCCCTGACTCATCATCAACATCATCAGCATCGTCATCGGGACGTGAGCAGCAGTAGTAATGATAATGAGTGTTGTACTAGTACTACTACGGGTAGCAGTACTACGGGTGGGAGGAGGCTAACTACAGTCAAAGGAGTAGGAATGGAATGCGCCTACATTACCGATTTGACGCTTTTTCTATCAGCTTGAAGGAGTTACTCCATCCCCATCTGCTACTCTACCCGACACGAACACCGTACAGGAGGTGGCTCCTTCCTCTACTTCTTCAACACCGGACGCTATAGTAATATGATAATGCTTTCTGTGCAGATTCATGTTCTCAATAGATAAGTCGTGAAGGAGCAGTAGAGAAGAGTAGTGGCAGTCCCCGATCGACCGCTACGGCTCCTACTGCTGGTAGTAGCAGTACCCAAGCCGCACCACAGTGATGATAGCAACGCCATTCTGTATCACCGTATTAT